ACACACACACGCACGCACGCACAGGCACGCACACAATTGGGAGTTCCTACATAGCATTGTCAAGGCGCTGACCCTTGGTGGCTTTGTAGCAATAGTCTCGGACACTGGTGTCCTCTCTCCCATGGTGCCAAAACTGCTTATTTTAAAGTTTTTTGGTGACATGTTTTTTCTCTAAAACTCTCTTGTCTAACAGATTCCTTCTTCAGGCAGAGACTCATGTCCACATTGGCTTTTACCCGGATGGAAGGGGTGTTATTATACACATTTTGCTGCAGAGTCCCTCTGATTTCCATCCTAGGAATTCCATCCATTCCCCAGGCCTCCCGGTGTTGATCACTGATTGAGTTTCCCTTGATCCCCGTTCAGTTCCCACTTCAGTTGTTGTACACGCAGTTGATTAAATAGTTCTGTGTAATCAGAATGTCGTCCCATGTTTAAGTGTTATCACTGTGGAGACAAAATGGAAACGAGACTGCCTTAGTGAAGATGGAGAGGGAGCTAACTAGGCAGCCCTCTCTCCCTGAGGTAGCTTTAACCCTTCAGATGTTCTCACAGGGCAGCTGGGCAGCTAGAACTTGGGAAATAAGACATCATATGCTGGTGACGTACCATGTTAGTTTCCTGGGTTGCTGTGACAAATTACTACCGACTTGGCTTGAAACAACAGGAAATTATTCTCCAGTATCTGAGATCCAAAGTCCAAAGTCAACTGCAACGATTCTAAATCAAAAAGACAATGGGACCACGTTCCCTCCCAGAACCTTTGGGGAGGGCTTGACTTTGTTCCGCTCTTTGGTGGCTGTACTAATCGTGATCTCCTTGTTCACGTAGCTGCCTTCTTCTTCAGATCTTTTTCATCCTCTAAGGTCACCTGCGATGGTCTTTAGGACTCACTCAATTGATGCAAGGAAACCTTCCCATCTCAAGACCCTGTCATCATGTCCATAAAGACCCCTGTCTTAATTAGACCACATTTACAGGTTCCAGGGCTTGGGATAGGAACCAGTCTTTGCCACTCCAGTTTCCACACTGTTATCACGACCTCTGTGAGACAGCTCAAGGTCAGGGCTGAGGTGATGAGGGGAAGGCCTGCAGTGCTTCCTGCAGTGAGTCTTCTGAGGTGCTCCCTGCTGTGAGTCATACCATTTCCTTTCATTCCCCTTCCTTCCAAGGAGTCGAGAGAGCTAGAGATAGTTAGGAAATGCAGACATTCTTTGGCTGGTTCAGTTTAGGATTATTTGACAAAGTTGATCTGCATTCAATGACAAGTATACTTGCATTCATTTGGGTCATTTCCTGAGCTGTGCAGTACCCTTTCTGGTCAGTGCTGGTGAGTGTGACAGCCATTTTGACATTATGCTGTACTCCCAAGCTGGGAGTTGGGGGTGGGGGTGGAGATATATTAGGACATGCTGTGTATTTTCTACATAGAGTTTTCAGGCTACCTTGGGTTTACCAGGACATTGATCCAGTGATACAAAGAGGGGCCTGTGATGGTGTTAGCTGTCAACTGAACAGAATCCAGTCACCGGAGAGACTGGCCTCTGACCTTGCCTGTGGGGGATCGTATGAGCTGTCGAGGTTGCTGGGATTGCAGGAAGGGAATGGAGTGAGATGGGTTCAGATAGAAGGCGGCCTTGCTTATGGCTGTCAAGGAGGATGGTCATGGAGGCAGAAACATACTCTTAAAAGCTTGTATCAAGTAAAGATTCTCCCTCTCCATTCCCTGGGAAGTTATTAGTGCCTTGTGGCTGCTTTAACAAAGTCTCACAGTTCTGGGCGCCAACAGTCTGATATCAAAGCACCAGCAAAGCTTTCTGCCTCTCCGGCGGCCCCTCTGTTCCTCTCTCCTGGTTTCTAGCAGTTGCTCGTGTCCCTTGGCTTGTGGCCCATCTCTCGAACACCCACCCCCTTCAGTCCTTCAGTCCTCTCTCCTGAGGCGTGCTCCAGTTTCCCTCTGCCTCCACTGCAAAAGAACACTTCCTAGGGTGTGTAGGCCACTCTGGCACCTCAGGTTAATCTCCTCATATCCCTTAACCATGTCTACAGAGTTCAAAAATAAAATCATGTTGATATGATTCAGGGATTAGCACTTAATGTCTTTGGATGGTCATTATTCAGGCCAGGATAAGCGTTAATGAGTGAAATGAATTATCTCAGCAGTAACTGTGTGCTGGTGGTTTTTTTTTTGTTTTTTGTTTTTTTAAAAGTCATATTTTTGCTAGCTTTTTAAACTACCTTTTATTTGCGGTACTTTTAAGACTTCATTGCCAAACGTTTTAAAATAGACAGACTCCAGCCAGAGGTGGCACTTGGCTGTGGCTTTTCAGCATCCTCTCATCCCCCAAAAGATAGATCCATCTATGTAATAGACATACATATATGTACATGCATATACGAGTGTGTGTAAGGGTGCACATGTATGTATGGGTGCTCATATATGTGTGCACATCTGCATGGACATCAGCTGTCATTCTTTAGATCTTATCCGCTTTGGTTTTTGAGACCAGGTCTCTTAGTTGCCTGGAACTTGTCAAGTAGGCAAACCTGACTAGCCAGAGGGCCCTAGGGACCCATCTGTCTCTCTGCTTCCTCGTTGATGGAATTACAAGCATGCACCACCGTGCTTGGCTCTCCTACCCCACCCCCAAGGAGATTGAACCCAGGTCCTCAATTTACAAGGCAAATGCTTTACTGATTAATTCATTTCTCCAGTCCCAGAACACACACACACACACACACACACACACACACACGAGTCAAGAAGAAGTACACTTGATAAAGCTGTGATCTTAATATCTAGCATGAGTGTCAGGAGAACCATAGCCAGGATGTAACGTCAGCTCCAGTGGTCTGGAAGCCCTGGCCTTGGAGGTACGAATGGAACAGGAAGTTGACCTGCTGTGAGGTAAGAGATGAGCAAGCCTCCTTCAGGGTGTGTTCCTCTTGCCGATTGCCCCATGGCCCTTGGTTTGTTCTTCACAGCTCTGGAGGAAGGGTATGGAATTTCCTATTAGGAGGAAGCCGTTTCTCAGGAAGCCATACCAGACTCAGGGTTCATAGCTAGGATCTGCTCAGTATTCTCAATGACTGGTAGCCGCTCAGCTACTACTGTTTATAATGTAGTATGAAGTGCAGCCAGATCAGGCTCTACATTAGCAATGAGCATCTTAACCTCTGACCGAGCCTCCCTGTGCTGGATGTGAAGGAGCTTTGGGTGGCTCTCTGTAGCGCTCCCTTGAGTTGGTCAGTCAGGGTTCAGGGACATAAATGACAGGGAGGGTGATTGAAGGACTTAGGATGTTGTAGACCCATCTCTGACCACACATTGGACACAGGCTGCACCCTGGGTAGCCTGGGGTAACTATGGTGCGTCTGATGAGAAAATGTGAGTGGACCCAAAAACATTTCAGCCAGGAATCAGGGCTACAGCCCCCTCCATCCGATTTCTAGGTGGAGTGTAGACTGAATTCAGGGGAGGGCCAGACAAAGGTCATGGAGTTGTAAGAACTTTAATGCCGGTAGGCCAGGCTGTGTGCTAATGATCAGAGGTTTGCTAATTTAAGTTTGTCTTTGGTTTGTGCTTTTTCTCACTTTCTTTTTATTAATAGTATCTTTGTAACTCAACAGAGATTTAATTGACAGCTACAACGTGTATGTGTTTATTGTGTGCCGTGTGGTGTTTTGATACGTGTGGATATTGTGAAATGATTCCTACCCTCGGGCTCATCATCCGTCACCCACCAAGCAGTTGCTGTGTGGTGAGTGTGTGGAAGTTCACAGTGTGTTCCCACTAACCACGGCCACCTTGATGTTTGTGAGGGCTCAGGTTTTATTTAGCAGGAACTATGTCCATAAGATACTTACTATTTGAGCCTCTCACTCAAGTGTATCTATTTGCTTATGGACTCAACCTTGCATTTATGTGTAGAGCTGCCCTGATGTGAAATTGCTCTGGGTACTAAGGAGTGATCGGGAGGCCCCTGAGTTTCTGCTGCACACAGGGGCTCCAAGCTTTATTCCAGAGTGACCTTCAGAGGTAGCAGTTCAGGGCACAAGGGAGGCAGCTTGTCAGTGAGCTGAGAGGAAGGATGGATGAAGAGATGGAGCATTGGAAGGATGAACTGGCATCCTGTGCACAGCTGACCACACAGAGGGGGACTGAGGAGGACGAGGAGGTGTGCCTCAGGACCTATAGGGGGAAGAAGTGACTCTCTGAAGGAAAAGAGAGCTGAGGGTAGTGCAGGTTTTCGTGGATAGAATCTGCCTTTCTGTCTGTCCTCCTTCCCATGTGGAACGTCTGTGGGAGGTTGATATGTGAGGCTGGATCTCAATAGAGGGGTGTTAATTCACCAGAAAGTGATTTGCCAGGACAAGGAGCCACCACTGGAGGCTGGAGACGGTCTGACCTGGATTGTGCAGGTCACAGAGCGGCAGAGCTGAGGCCAAGTGAGCTGTATCTGTGGGCGGTCTCCCTGGGTCCTCTAACTATGCCTAGAACTGAAGATGGGGGACTAGCATAGCCGGTCCTGAAGTGAGGGCCTCAGCGTCACCTGAAGGAAGGCATCTGGTCCTATGAACAGGTGGCAAAGTCTTCAGTTCCAGAAGAAATTGGTATCACATCTCTGCAGTCTTCCTGTGGAGAGCTAAGTTTGACCTGCACTCTTTGCTGACTTGTCCAGGTTCAGGTTTTCTTAAGTTAATCTTATTTTTCTTCTTTAATCAAGAACTTGAATACTTATGTTCTGGTTGGTTTGTTTGTTTTTTCATTTGATGCTAGCTGATGAACTAGTTGCTTTTATCATGGTGTTGGGAATGGAATGCACAGCCTTGCACATCTTAGGCAGGAGCTGTGCAGCTCAGTGAGTCCCAACCCCTAAGCTGCTTCAGACCCAGGTCTCCCCTGTTGCAGGGAAAGAGCTCTGTTCTGGAGACTCCCTGAGGAATGACCTTTGTCTATCTGGTGTCTGATAACAGCCGACCCTTCTGTTTGACCTTAGGTAGCCATCAAGGTCATCGATAAGAAAAGAGCCAAAAAGGACACCTATGTTACCAAAAACCTGCGTCGAGAGGGGCAGATCCAGCAGATGATCCGACACCCCAACATCACGCAGCTCCTGGACATCTTAGAGACAGAGAACAGCTACTACCTGGTCATGGAGCTCTGTCCCGGTGGCAACCTCATGCACAAGATCTACGAAAAGAAGCGGCTAGATGAAGCCGAGGCCCGCAGATACATCCGGCAACTCATCTCTGCAGTGGAGCACCTGCACCGTGCCGGGGTGGTCCACAGGTGAGAGCCAGGCATGCCGAGATCCCTGAATCTGTATTGAGCAGACAACCCTAGCAAGGCTTAACAATTGCAACTCCCTTTACAATTTCATGGTTTTGTTCTGTGAGTTGGATGGGGATTCTACATTACTTCACCCCCCTGAACTCAGTCTCTTCATCTGTGAAATGGGAGTGAAGGTACATGTCTCTCTGGTGAGACAAGAACAATAAAGGTGCTTGGTTCGAAGCAAATGCCAGGCAAGTGTTACCCTGTCCTTATCATTTCCAAAGGACGTTATCTTAGCATCAATTCCTGTTGCTGTAATAAAATGCCATGACTAAGGCAACTTAAAGGAGAAAGGCTCAAATTCTTAGGATACATTTTGTCACTACAGGGCCATCAAAGGTGGCAGGAGCTTGAAGCAGCTAATCATACTCCCTTCATAGTGGAGAGCAGAGCAGTGAGTACTTGTAGAGTAGAAGTTAGCTCACCTTCCCCACTGTTGGCATTTAGTCTAGGCTCCGCCCCACAGTTACCTGGCAACAGCTAGGTGTACACCCACACTTACACAGTGGGCTGGGTCTTCCCACTAATCAAGACACTCCCTCATTGAGATTTTACTCAGATGGTTCTAGATTGGGTCGAGTTGACAATTAAAGACAAGATGCGTTGTATGATGTGTGAACATCTCAAAGAATAAACGAAAGTATTACTTTAAAACAAATAGTAAGTGTGCAGAGCAAAATGAAGCGAAGCCACCGAACTCAAGCACCACAAGCACCGGGCCGTCACCCAGGTGCGTCACAGCTGGTGAGGTGGCGGCATTGATCGCTTCTGCTCAGCTCTGTAAAAGCTTTATTCTGTTGAGAGGACTCACCATGCAGATTGTGACACTTGACTCTAAAATGAGGGTTATTTCCTGGAAACCTAACAAACCTTGTGAATAGTACTGAAGCTCGAGCTTGCTTATGCCAGCTCGTTCTTTTTGGGGAGGGAGGTGGAAGTGAAGTGAATGGAGATTCATAGTAGCGTCACTGTTGCTAATGCACAAGTCTTTGCACAAAAATAGACTCAAATTAGATTCCCACTTCCCTTTTCTCTTCAAGAGAATACTGAGTGCTTGTTGCCCCAGCAGAGTACCCAAGATCGGTTCTCAGCACCTATATATATTGGGTGTCTCACCTTGCCTGCAACCTCAGCTCCAGAGGACCTGGTGCCCTCTACGGCCTCTATAAACATGGAGCTCACACACATGTCCTCTGAGTCGTCTCCCACACATATTTGCAATTAAACATAAACAAAGATTTTTTAACATAAAAAAATCTTAACAAAGAGTGCTGGGTGTGGTGCCACATAGAAGGCAGAGGCAAATAGATCTCTGGGAATTTGAGGCCAGCTTGGTTCACACTCTGAGTTCCAGGTCAGCCACGAATATATAGTGAGACCTTGTCTCAAAAAGAAAAACAAAAATACCAACAAAAAAACCCAAAACAAAACAACAAAAAATAGATAGAGAACCTCTCTAATAAATGTCTTGGTGTTTTTTTTTTATTTTTATGAAATTGTAAGCAATTACTATGTTGTTGAGAAAAATGGAAAATCATTTAATTCATTTTAAAAAGCAAAATCAAGACATAAAATGTGTATGTATACATTTTTACATGCACACGTATGCCTTTCAATGCATGTTTAGAACACTGTAAAACTGAGATGTAAAGTTCACAATATAAAATACACAATTTACTTCTATTAAGTGTATTCAGAGTCCTGCAATGATCCCCACAACCATTTTAGATTCATTCTTTTTCCTCACCAAGCAGCCTTGTTCCTATGACAGCCATTTGGCTTTCTTCCCTCCTACCACCTCTTGCTATTTATCCGCTGCCTGCCCTTGTGGATTTGCCTGTTCTAGATATTTCACAGCAATGGAGATATAAAATACATGGTCTTTGTTGTTGGCGTCTTATGCAGCATAGCTTTTCAGATTCTTCCATGTTAGAGCTTCTATTAGTTTTGTCTTCCTCTTCTCAGGTAAGTAATATTCCAGTGTATGGATATACCACAGTCTATTATTCTGCTAATGGGCATTTCTGTTGCTCCACTTTGGGGACATTGTGAATAATGCTCTGACAAGTCTTCTTAGTGGAGTTTTCTGTGGCCATGTGTTTCCGTGTCTGCTGTTCCTGGAGAATTCTTCTATACCAGGAGTTAGTGGGTCAAGTGTCACCCCTTTGCAGAAACATGTATTTTCTTAACATTCATCTTGAATGCCACCTCTTATGTTTCTGAAAGTCATTCCTTTCTGACCAGTGAAGGACTTTATAAAATTTATAAAGGAATTTATAGAGTTTACTTAATAAACTCTAGAGCTTCCACTTCCCAGGTTCACTGGGCAGTGTCTTCCCAGTGAGATCGGCACCTTGGGATGCCCTGCTATGTCCTGTCTGAACCCAGGGTTACAGCAAGGATGTCCTATTGCTTAAGGCTTTTCTGGGCAGGCTAGGGTTCACCACTGTCCAGTCCTATCACCCCCTGCTGAGGTGAGAATCCACTCTCTACAGTTAGCCTTAGTCACACACTGTCAGATAGCCATTCGTTGTTAGAACTCTTTAGGTCAGTAAGGAAGGGAATTCGTAAGTTTGCAGTGTGTGACAGTTTTGGCATGTGTGTCCTGCTGTGTCATCTCCTAGCTGTATAAGGAAATGTGGTTGGAAGGGTGCCTGGCTCCTTCTTTGATTGACAGAGGCAGAGACATCCTGACTGAATCAGCCTGGATTACAGACTCAGTGGGTCACTGAAGAAAATATAACCAGGGACCGTAAGCGGCGGAGTGTTCTATGGGACTTGGTGTTTTTTCCCAGGGTTCCATGCTATCAAAAATAAGACAAGTGACAAGTGACAAGCTTCTCAGGATCAGAGGACAACAAAAGAAGCTCCTGCAAGTCCTGTGAAGTGAACATGGGTCTCCCCCGCCCCCGCAGGAAATTCTCAACAGCCCCTCTAAAGCAATTTTAACAAAATCCAATCCCTCAGTGCAATTACTGTCAGAATGTCAAAGGAAGGAATTTAATAATGTTTTGATAGCAGAGACAGGATGCTTTTTTTAAAAAAAACCTCTCATCTGTAGCTTTCTCCTTCTTCCTCTCTCTCCTTGGAAATAGCTTTATAATCCAATACTGGTGAGGGCTCCTATCTTTTAAAGTTAGGAAAGAGAGAGCAGAAAGATAGACAAGTGTAGCTAGCTTTTTTCTTTGGAAGTCATGGTGTGTGTGTGTGTGTGTGTAAAAGCATGTACATGTGTTTGACAGCATGTGCATGTGTTTGTGTGTGTGAGGGAGCATGTACATGTGTTTGTGAGTATGTATAAGCATGTGTGAGCCTTTGTGTACATGTGTACAGGCCAGAGATTGACATTGGGTCTTTTTTTCAGTTGCTTTTCCATCTTATTTTTGACACAGCCTCTCATTCAGCCTTGAATTTACTGATGAGGTTAGACTGTCCAGCCTTCTGCTTCTTCTTCCACAGTGTCGTGGTAATTACAAGTGTCCACTTCTGTGCCTGGCTTTTATGTGGGTAAACTCGGATCCTGAACTCGGATCCTCATGCATGTTATCAAGCATGCTAGTAACTAAGCTATTTCCTCAGGCCCCTGGAAGTCATGTTAGAATGTGTCACCCTACATGGATGTGGGGGATGGGTTGTTGAGACAATCATTAAAATATTTCTTATCCTATATTCACAGGTGGCCTTTATTCAAATGGCTTGCCTTTCAAAATCTCCACAGAACCGACTTTTAATGTTTCTTTGTTTAGGGACCATCGGCATATTTTTGTCTGTCACTTCATTGGTCCCCCCTTTTACCCTAGTGGTGGAGGATTCTCTTTTTCATGTGCTTGTGGAGGAGTCAAGTTCATAAATTATTCTGAGGTTAGAGTTTTCAAACGAATGAGAGAAGTTAGCACTTCAGAGAAGGCTTGGAGTCTCTGGTGGAAAGACTTGTGAGCGAATAGATTGAACCATGCATAAGCATCGGAAGGGACGCCGCTGGCGGTGCAGATACCGGGCTCTTGGTTCTTGTGTGCCGGATGCTATAAGCTCTCAGAGTTCTGAAGATTCAGACTGGGTCCTCATATTGTGATTCACCTGCTGAGACATTGCCCAGCCCCCAGCTTGTTTTCTTCTAAAAATGCTATCCCAGCAGGATGCCACCATCAGACACAGAGCTTGACTCTTAACTTGAACCCTCAAGAACACTGTGAGACTCATCTGGTCATTCAAAGTAACAGATTCCGATCAAAGTCTATAGACAGAGCATTCCAGAGTGGTATCATCCCGGCTGGCTGTCCCTAAGCAGGAAGAGACAAGCCGCAGGCCTGCAGGACCAGAAGAAAGGGTTCCATGATCAAAGGAGAGCTGCAGCCCATGCTTAGACAAGTGTTAGCACCTCCCTGCCCAGGGACTTGACCCTCCTCATTCATCAACAGTGGGAGAGGTGTCCTCCCCACTCCCACCCCCCCCCCAACTGAGGGGGAAGGCAGTGGGAAAGAGAGACCCTTTGTTCTCTGGTGGTTGACAAGAGGCAGGCACCACCTGGGCAGGTTGCGTAAATCCTTTTAACTTTTAGGAGTTGTTTCTCAGCAGAGGAAAAGGATAGGCAGGTGAGAGGTGGATTTCTGTCTGCTCCCATGCAGGAACTGCAGGGGATCCCAGGGCCTTCTGTGGGGAGCAAACGTCTGTCTGCCGCTACTGGCTAGAGCAGAGGTTGTGTGTGTAGTTGGATTTGAAAAACAGAGTCACAAATGGTCGGTCTTGTTACCACTGTAGTCCATGCCCTCTGTGGATTGACATGTACGCTCAGCAGCCTGGATTCAGATTGTCCAGACCACCTCTGTCCGTACTGTCCAGACCACCTCTGTCTGTAAGTACTGTCCACTGCTTAGAGCCTACGGTAGGCTAGGGGTCAGACTTCCTGTGTCTTCGCCAGTCTGCTCTATAAAGATATTGGATCAGCCACTGTGTGT